TGTATTACAGCAGATGTGGGGTGCCCACTGTTTGTCTTGATCACCTAGTTTACAACCGAAATAAAGCTGGTATGCCTTTGTTATTAGTGGAGTAATAGACCGTCTCTGAGACGCAAAAGTCACATCACCACACACGTAACAAAACTGATCTGGATTGTTTACACACTTTCGAGACATCTTGCATGAACGCTGTCAGCCAACTGAGGAAAAAATGGCTAATATAAAACAATATAATGTACACGTATGTATAACGTAACACAATCATGCCGATTACATCATCTTTCCTTGCCGAATATAAAAATGTAGCACGTGCATTCTTGTGAATTACAGTATATTAACACTGTCACAGCAGGAACACATATAATTACCGTATCTCTAAAACTTGAACTAATATTGAAAAAATAAGTTTCACTCAGGTTTTAGCACATTAAAAATAGTAATGTTTTGTTGATTTTATTTATGATATTTTTTGGCTGTTGATCAGTGATAATCATTGTTTGGTAATTGAAGACACAAGTGGATAAAGGGGTCATGTAACATTTGTTTTTTGCACTAAACTTTAACCATCGTTAAGTCTGAGTTACAAATGAAACTGCTGGAAAAATATAACACCAGCCAGCAAGCCAGACAATTCACATTCTCCCAAATAACTTGCCACGACGTAATGGGATTTTTTCGGAGTATCAAAAGTAATGCCTTAGGTGTTGACGGAATCAACCTAAATATGCTAAAAATCATATGCGATTTGCTAATTGAAAATATAACTTTCAGTATCAACTATGCAATTGCATCGTCAAACTTACCCAACTGTTGGAAAAAAGCAAATTTTTTCCCCCTAGCTAAAATAAGTAACCCTACAGAATTAGAACTAGCCATGAAACATCAGGTATCTGACTACGTCTTCTCTAATGGTGTCATTCCTGAAATCTAATCGGGTTTCAGGAAAAACCACAGCACAACAACAGTTCTGGCTATCATCACGGATGACTTAATCGGATGTGTAGATCAAGGAAATTTAGCATGCTTAGTGTTACTTGACTATACAAAGGCTTTTGGTACTCTGGAACCATCTATTTTTGTGAAATAACTTATGCAGGGTGGCGCATCCGAAACGAAACAAACGCATTTACTGGCAGCTCAGCTTTTTTTTGGACCCGTCGATTTTGTTTTCGAGGGGGACACAAGTTTGGCAAAAAATCACGTTAACACGTGCAGCCCCCTAAGCGGGGGTGACATCACCCCTAAAATCTTAAATGGAAAGGGGGTCGAGTGATACCTTATTTTAAAGGTCTTTCAATTCCCCATGCCGGTGCTCCAAGACCGCACGATGAAATACAGGTCCGCACTGAAATACTTGTCGGGAGGATACTTTATAAAACAAGGTAACATTTTTTTAATTTTTATTTTTATTTTTACACACATATTTTGGTTTATCTTCCTTCTACAATCATTATCTGAAAATTAATGACTCAACTTCAAAGTATACTATATACTAAATTGTGATTGACTGTAACCCATACCTTTTTTTAGATCGACAAATACACAAACAGATGGGAATTTCTTATTAAGGTTTTGGGTGGCCTGGTTTACTAGTTTTTAGATCAGATTCTTGTGCTACAAAATCGTATTCATTTTGACTCAGAAGTTTGAATGTATACTAAGTGACATATAAATCCGAACACCCAGTTTAAATGGTTTTATTTCAATAAAAGTTGGTGAATGTATTTATCTTACTGTAAATAACAAGTGAAAAAATTTTCAGCCTTATCAGTTGGACATTCCGGTTTTTATACTGCTTTTTTTTAATTCACCAGCGCTCTAAAAATGAATATTTCAGCCGCAGTAAAGAATCAACGTTGACGGATTTTGGTTCTTGACATCCTTTACGATCGGTTACGATGCCTAGAGTACGGAGACCTGTACGATTTCGTCAACTTAGTGAGTTTGATAGGGGCCGTATAGTGGGACTTCGGGAAGCTGGACTTTCTTTTCGGGCAATTGCAGTTAGAGTGCAAGAAGTGTAGACACTGTGGTTAGGTGTTGTCAGGCATGGCTTCGAGAAGGCCGTACGCAAAGAGCAAGGGGCACTGGACGCCGCCGTAGAACAACAGACCGTGAAGATCGCCGCCTAAGATTATTGGCCTTAAGGGACCGTTTCTCCACTACCAGGTCCATTGCAAATGAATGGTTTGCAGAACACGGAAGACCTGTTGGCATGCGAAGTGTTTACCGACGAATGAGAAGTTTTTGCTTGTTTTCATACCGGCCGCACTGGGTCCTCCCTTTAACTCGAGAACACCGACGTAATCGCCTTGAGTGGTGCAGACAACGGTCACTCTGGGATCAGGAATGGAACAGTATTGTCTTTAGTGACGAGTCTCGATTTTGTTTAGGCATGCACGATGGTCGTGACAGGGTTAGAAGGCGACGTGGTGAAAGGAGGAATCCACAGTTTTATGTTGAAAGACATGTTCATCACACTGTTGGAGTTATGGTTTGGGGTGCTATAGCTTATGATTCCAGGTCACCTTTAATCTTCATCAGAGGTAACATGAACGCGCAGCGTTATATCCACGAAGTTCTAGAACCCCATCTTGACACCCTGGCAGATCCAACTTTCCAACAAGATAATGCCCGACCACATGTTGCAGGAGTCACAATAGACTTCTTTCAACATAATGATGTCACCTTGTTACCATGGCCACCAAGATCTCCCGACTTATCCCCAATTGAGTACGTGTGGGATATGATGGGTAGGAGATTGCTCAATTTGCAACGTCCTCCTCAGACTCTAGAAACACTTCGAGAGGAGTTGGTGGTTGCCTGGAATGAGATACCCCACAGGAGGACATTGACCACCTGATCAGAAGCATGCCTAGGCGCGTTCGAGAATGCGTAGCACATCAGAGTGCATCCACACATTATTAAAGGTCAAAGGGCTTTAAAGCAGTGCAATCATTTTGAAATTTTTATCATTTACTTATTATGCTTCATTAAGTACTTATACAAAATTTTATTAAAATAAAACCATTTAAACTGGGTGTTCGGATTTATATGTCACTTAGTATATCTACCTTACAATAAGCTTCGGTGAACGCTAACTGCCCGTGCTTATTAACGCTTTGACAGGCTTGTAACTATCTACTAGAGGGAATTTAAGCAGAAGTTTCAAACAATGAGAAGAATTCTATTCCTTGGACGTAACATATACTCACAAGCAAGAGTCTCAATTGACTTTCATGTTCAAGAATATCTTAGTTCTTGGCCTGTGGTTTCACTTGGTGGCCAGTAGAACATGAAAATTGAACAGCAAGCCAACCAGAAGATAAGTTGCAGGTGTTACGTTAACGAACAGTGTCGATTACTGTATCGAGGAAAATGCTGAAGGAAAACAAAGTCCAGGCAGAAGACACGTGTATTTGGTGGATATTAGCTGCAGCTCAGTAACAACAGTTCTCTGGGTCGTCGCAAAGAAAAACAAAATGCATTAGTGCTAATATAAGTTTGGCGTGTTACTCAACTAAACTAATTTAAAACAACTTCAAGCTTTGTTACATAGGCGAACAACTCCACTAACTGTCTCGGCAGACGGGAGACCGCGCTACATCATAACCTGTCAACCCAGTTGGTAGTTTCGGTTTAATATATTTCACTGAAACGTCACGACAGTTTCTGGGTCGGTCGGGATAACTTCCACCTTAGGCGCTGCAACTCCGCCACAGCACTACGTTAGGCCACGTCTATTTTATGCACCATTTTTTGTACTCTACAGGTGCTAACAGAAAAGTATAGCTACAACTAATACTAGTGGGTTCACCAGATTTAATAGCTCACGAGTAAGGTCCAAGCTGGTTTGTAAGGGTAGTCAATTATACCAGTGCACACGTAAGTTCTTGCAACGTACGTTTCAAATCCCAATAGAGGTATCCTAATAAAGGACCATTACACTAAAGCATTGATTCCCAAAGTGGTCTATATCGACCGCTAGGGGTCTATGACAACCTGCAAGCGGTCTACGTCAGCGAAAAAAAATTTGGGGGTCCATGAAATGAATATGGGGGTCCATGATAGTGGATCTCAACACATACACTGATAGTACCTATTTACTTACATCATACTATCTTATAATATCAAAACATATACATTATTTATAAAAGTACCTATGAAGTAAAAAATGTATTATATATGTTTATAAAATTGTGTAAGTAGTAGGATGTTGGTATTCGCTCTGTGGTCGCAATACATTTTGAACTTGTAAAAACCTGAGAGTCGCAGTCTCAGAGGTTCGCTACCTTGCACTGGTTCAATTCGTCACTCTATAAATACGAATGTGGGACAAATACGTTTATTCGTTTTCTGAATCTTGAAAAGGAAAGTGCTAAGAAAATATTTTAAAAATATAAACAGATGGTATATCACACAAACCATAGTGAGTGTTATTTTGTTTGAGAGTGCTGGAGAAAAGTAAGTACATTATTTTTTATTAAATTTTAGTTTTGTACTCGTAGTTAGCAAAGATAGATAAATTACGCCAATCATGACTTTAGTTATTAGTAGTTAAATATTCAATCATGCAAAATTACACGAGTACTCCTCAATAGTTTCTTTTTGAATGTTTTAGCAATCGGTAATATAATTACAGTGCAATCTCCGTAATTCGAGCTAATTGTTGCAAGAAGATGTTCGAATTATGGAATGTTTTCGGAAAAATCAAAAAATATTTTTAATATACAGCTGCTGGATTTTCTGTCTTATTTAAATAATTTAATTTTGCCCACAGATGACTGATGCCATGTCCGAATCTAAAAAGAAATGTAGGCAGTACAGTGTTAATTATTTGAAATTTGGCTTCATTCCATCATTGCCGGACAAACAATCGCCTATGCAACAAAGTTTTGAGCAATGACGCTATGAAACCATCTAAACTGCAAGATCATCTGATAAAACAGAGAAAGATTTGAAATACTGTCAAACACTCAAAGATAAATTTCAGAAGAGACCTACACTGGACAGAATGTTCGCTTCGACGTCACAAAGAAATGATGATGGCTTGCGGGCGTCTTACAATACCTCGTTACTTATAGCAAAATCCGAAAAACCGCATACTATCGAAGAGAAGTTAATTTTGCCAGCCGTTGAAGAGGTTTTAAAAACTGTTTTACACAAACCTGCATCGGATATCATTAAAAGAATTCCCTTAAGCAACAATACTGTTGAAAGACGTATTGATGAAATGAGTTTTGATATTGAAAGCTTCATATGTAATTATTTACAAACAACCCATTTCTCTATACAACTGGACGAGTCAACTTTACCTGATAATGCAGCATTATTATTGGCATATGTTCGTTTTATTATGAATCAAGAAATCTACGAAGAACTGCTCTTCGCAAGAACTTTGATAACCGACTCTGAAGGTGAATCAATATTTCATGTTTTGAAGGATTACTTCATTGAAAAAGCAATTTCTTTATCAAATATAATATCAGTAGCTACAGATGGAGCACCTGCCATGGTTGGACGTTATCGTGGATTTATAAACTATTTAAAAGAAAATGTGTCATGGGTGTTAGCAATACAGTGCGTCATCCATCGACAGCATTTAGTTGCTAAAAATTTGAGTGTTAGATTGCATTAATCACTTCATTTAGTCATTCATGCAGTAAACCGAATCCGAAGCAACGCGTTGAATACGCGGTTATTTGCGCAGTTGTGTGAAGAAAATGAACACTTTCATCAATTACTCCTTCACACTGAAGTACGCTGGCTGTCGAAAGGCTTATGTTTGACAAGATTTTTTGCACTTTTTGAGACTATTTTAGAATTTCTGGATACTAAAGATAAAATTTTAAAAGAAAATTTAATGAAGAGGAAAACAGTCATCGCCTATTTAACAGATTTGTTTACAAAATTTAATATGGTTAATTTGCAATTACAAGGCGACAGTTTAAATTTGATAAAAACAAAGTCCATCTTATCAGCGTTTCTTGCCAGAGTTAAACTAATGAAGCAAAATATTGGACGGGGTAAATTTTCTCAGTTCCCCAATTTGTCACAGACAAGCTGCCAGGAAGACAAAGTTTCAACTTACGTTCAACATTTAAATGCCCTCTATTCAGATTTTGAATCTAGGTTTGAGGATATTTTGACTATGGTAATACCACCGTGGATAATTAATCCATATGGTGACATAGAAGAAACGAATGTCATAACACAAGAGGAACTGACTGAACTAAGTACAAACGAAGAACTTAAGGTTCAGTTTAAAAACGGATATCAGCAATTCTGGCTGCAAAACAACATACCCGTTACTTATCCCGTATTATGGAATATAGCGAGGAAATTTCTTTTCCATCGTCATACCTAGAGGAAAGAGGGTTCATCGCTGTTACCAATCTCCTAACGAAAAACAGAAACAGACTGGACATCATTAGCCGAGGAGATTTAAGATTAACCCTTACAAAATTGACGCCAAATGTTGATAATTTATTATTAAAGCATCAGGTTCATCCTTCTCACTAAAAATATTGACTTATTGCTTATGTAATTTTATTTATAGTTTATTTTATGTTTATTGGTGTCTGACCAATAAATGCCTGCATTGGGAATAAGTGCTCGCATTGATTTTTTTAAAGAACCCCCCTTTATAGAAAATATTTTTTTTAATTATTCTGAAAATTCAAGGATAGGTACACACTAAAATTCGTTAATTTTTTGCCTATTTTTAGATAACTTAAACGTATAAGAAGCGGAGTATAATCAAACTAACAGTGAAATTATTGTAGAACACACGTTTATGTTATAATTAATAAACGAACTCGCTTATTGTACTATTTTAAGTAAAAAACTTTTTTTTTATTATTTTTAACTTTTTTTTTTATTTTATCCCTCTTATTTGTTTTTCAATGTGGCACTTATTCCCAATGCGGGCACTTATTGGTCAGACACCTGTTTATTTAATGTTACGTATATTTTACATAACAGATACAAAATTTTATTTTGAGTAGTTTTAATTTAAATTCAATTAATAAATGTATAAATTAACATGTGTTTTTACTTTATGTTTTTAACACTACTATGGAGAAAAATAGCTTAAAGATCAACGTCTCCAATGATGGGTTCGTTTTTCTCAAATAAAAAATTCCGTGTGCCTGAAAAAAAATGTGGGGACACTATTTTTGAAACAACCCTCGTACATACTAAGGTAAAAGTGAGGTGCAAATTTATTACCTCAACAGCCTGCCATCTGACAAACAACAGCACGCTGAATAATTCCCGAACATCTTAACGAGTCAATACATTAGAAAGAACAAGTTTCCAAGCTATTCCTTTGACAGCGTGAAAGCAGGAATCGATCTTATTCGACGTATTCACCGCAAAGTTGCCGAAGTTCGTTGTTATTTTGAATAAGATTGCGATGCACGTCTCTCCACAGTTCCGCTGAACTTGCACCCGCAAAATGGAAGTCGCCAGGCTATTTCGGTAGCTATCGAAGCAAATCTTGTTGAATTGTATTGAAGTGAAACTATAAGCGAGTTGACAATTCGAGTTGACTGCGAGCTCTTGAACAAGTATCGGGTATACAGGCCACAAATGTTTCATGGAACGAGCCAATGCCCCGACAATCTATAGAGTCGTCGTCAAGCCGAAAACTTACTCAGTGACATAAGAAGTGTTACACCCAGAAAAACTAATTTCTTCAACTTGATTTTTTCAGCAATCAAGAATGAAACGATAACATTCTCACGAAATTTTATTGACAAGTAATAAGAAAAAAATTAATATCCCGCAGCTGAATACATCGGCATCGACAAAACGCGATCATCGATCACTGGTTGTGGCACCCCATTCCAAACAACTCGAACTTCGTCGATAAGCTATGGCAGAGTCTGTGGCGGATGGTGCAAAGTTGATAGTCTTCTCCTCATGATATCCCATACACGTTCGATGAGATTTAAATCCGGCGAACGGGGAGGTCACGGCAAAATATTAACGCCTGCTTTTTGCGTGCGTTTGATAGTCATCACCAACATAACGCGCAGCAGTCATATCGCCTTGAACAAAAAGGAGGGGTGATCAGTTACCACGGACAATAACCCCCTAAGCCATGACTCCAACAGTCCTAGGTACATGCCTCTCCGCAGCAAATACAATATCACGCCGATCTTCACGGAGGCGTCTTACCCGTCTACGACCTTCATGCGTACCTAGACAGAATCGCGCTTCGTCGCTGAAAATGACATAATTGTTTTCGGCGTCATTTCATCTAATTTTAAGTGGTTACAAAAACGCATATAAAAAGGTACGTGTTCAGAGTAATACCATCGATTTTGTGTTGTGTTTTTAAGAGACATCAATTATTGATATGTTTTGGAAAACATCTCTGTAACTACCAATTTTTTTTTGTTTGTTCGAAATTAAAAATAATGTTACACATGGGGGCACAACGGGGCCGTGGTTATGAGGTACAAAGGGGTACCCTATTGTACCTTAATATATCACTGTTAGTCGAACTTACAAGAAACTTTTTGATGCAGAAAAAAGATTCCAAAATAGCGCTGCGATTTCAAAATTACGTGACTTTTAGAATAAAGCTGTTTGTAGTTTCATGCTTCAATCATTCGCTAATAATAATAGTGGAAAAAATTAAAATAAACCCGTAACGCGGCACCTGTCGTCGAAAGTTTGACGAAAGTCATACTTTTTCAAAAAAATTGATTTACACGTTTTTTTTGTCAGGTCTTGACCGCAATCATCTAAGGCCCGTATCATCAGTCGTCCCTACAATTGTAGGGCGCCTTTATGGCCTCCTTGATCGTCATAGTTTTCTACTTCTCCGTGTCAGAACTCTATTTTGAGGTTATGTCACAAACATCTATTTGCATCAAATTATGCTTGCTTTTCAGTTATATCATGTTTTATCAGCCTGAAATTTCCTACAATTTAAAAAGAAAACATATCTTCACAATAGGAGAGCGCTGACGCTGACACGGTACAAGTGTAATCTAGAAATTTTTGAAGGAGAGAAAGGAGTATGACACTCAAGGATTCCATAAACGTGCCCTACAATTGTAGGGACGACTGACGATACGGGCCTAAGGTATCTCCCATTGCAATTTGATTCACATATTCTGCGACACCCTGTACTATACTTACAATAACAAATTCCCTAATTACGTCCGATATCTCTTAACAATACAAGTTTCTCCAGCTTAACGATCGGTATCTCTTAATTTTCATCTAAACATCTGTTATCCAAGGCACAAAGATATTCTCATATTATTTCGACTATCTTGCCAGGCGACATCGTCCCCTTGAGTTAGAGTCCGCCAGATAAGAGATCTACGGTTATAGCCCACTCCTTCCGGGAATGAGATTCATAGTCGTATCCATCGACATAAGGCCAAGGATATAATCTCGTATTTCACGGCTTTGAAGTTTTTTGCGGCAATCGGAAGATAGGCAGAGATAGCACCAGCGTGTGTGCAGGCTGTTCTGTGCCTGTTTACACCTTGTACTATGCGCTGCTATGTGGCATATAAGCACTTGACAATCTGACCATTGGTGTCGACAGCTCTACTGTCGTACCCTCATTGTTGTCATATAACATACAACTCAAAAGATATTGGCATCAGATTAATACAGACAGTACCTACATCGGAAAATTCCTTGTTTTTAAACTTTCCTGGTAAAATTCCGGGCAGTTTACGTGCCTACCCTACAGATAATCTATCGAGTACGAGACAGGATCAAATCAGATTACTGTGGAATGATACTACTTTGCTAATTCCGGCCTCGTCTCGTAAATAGAATAGCTGTAGTACCCCGTTTCCCGGCCAAACTTACGAGTTCAAAGCACTCATGCAGCGAAGAAAAGTGGCTCACCGCGCCCTCCCGTCTTCCTCCTCTCCGGCCCCTGGCCCACAAACTCAGCTGGTTATACCAGAAGAAGATGACGCATGCCAATTATCTGAAACTACTGGCAGTTTTCTTCAATCGTGAATATTTTGCTCGCAACTTGAGAGGCTGTCGAATATCATACCCCACTTATAATAGGACAACTATATCCTAGATCAATAGAATAGGGAACTTCCATTTTCCACGCCTGGGCCAGTTTGCACGAGAGCTATGGCAGTTGTGTCAGTCTTTTACCCAAAAATGCCACTAACCATGCGTGCATAAGATAGTTTTTGAACAGCATTTGCAGGCTGAGACAATCTCAACTGAAATACTTCAGATACTGTTGCTGTTCTCAATCAACTAGAGAGATTGCTGGTGACCTCCGTGGATATTGGGATGAGGAAATCAGCAACACTCCTAGCCCTAACCTCAAGTTCGAGTGTGCAAGCTCTGCCACTAATTAAAACAGACCATA